CATTGAAGGAAAAGGTATACACGACGATTCAAATACATGTACAATAAATAGATGTTTAATAGATAGCCTGTGGAATTGGTTTGGTTCAGTAGATTCAGAGGAAAATATCTTCCAAAAAGTTTACGACGGGATGACGGATGTAGGACGGACGCCAAGTGATTGAAAAGGCTCATCTGTCTTTTGTGATCTTTTATGGCCGCTGATCTAAAAAGTGGTCCATCCCCTTGTATAAATTTCTGAATTTGTCATTTGTTTTGGTATATTTTACACAAAAAATGATCCTTTCCAACGCCACGTCTTTGTATACTTTTATGTAGGAAGAGACCGCAGTGGTCATATCATGTGTGCTTAGTTGGCAATGTTGGTCAAATTTTGTACCCATGTCATTAACATTGACCTCCAATAAACTATATTCTATTGGCACTCATATCACACATCCTTATATTTTGTTGAGTACTGCAATTTACATATTTTTTTCAGAAACTAGACAAAAGAACTTTTATTCTAATCTGTTATCTCTTTTGAGAATTTTACAAAAAATCTTAGATTTGATTAAGAAAACTTTTATAAAATCGTTCACAAAAGAAGCTACATGTAGATAATAACTGCTAAATCAGGATACTCAATGAACTGTGCTGCCAAGAGGGGCGAGCTTTTGAATCACCGTGACTTTGAGATGAACGAGCACTGTTCCTTTGTTTTTGGAAGTTTGTCAAATATGTCTATCTGTTTATTCACAAATTAATACAGCATATCCCTTCTTTTCCATTTCTACAACAAACCACGCTGAAAAGATAACTGTACAGCACTGCTATAGCGATTTGCATTTTTTGTTCAAAGACATCAGTGACAAATGCTAAAAACAAAACGACTTTACGAAAATTTCAATACTTACTTTCACAGGAGGAACAATTAAACTTTATCAGGTACCAAGGGAACGAAAACAATACTTAATTATATGAATAACTTCTTGTAGACTAAAAACGGACCTAAATTCATGTGTGGAACTTGTCTTAAGAATCTTGACCTATTTTATACCTTGTGAAAAGCTTATGTTTTTGTGTGGAAAATACTGTTTAATATATATGTTCAATAAACATTTTCTATTTTCATTTGTATGTTTAAGGGTTACTGTTACTCTGATATCTACCCCATATCTCTCTGTGAGATATACCCCACATCTCTGTGACATATAACACACATCTCTGTGACATATAACCCACGTTACTCTGTGACATATAACCCACGTTACTCTGTGACATATAACCCACATCACTCTGTGACATATAACCCACATCACTGTGGTACATATAACCCACATCTCTATGTGACATATAACCCACATCACTCTGGTACATATAACCCACATTATTCTGTGACATATAACCCACGTTACTCTGTGACATATAACCCACATTATTCTGTGACATATAACCCACATCTCTGTGACATATAACCCACATTATTCTGTGACATATAACCCACGTTACTCTGTGACATATAACCCACATTATTCTGTGACATATAACCCACATTTCTCTGTTACATATAACCCATGTTACTCTGTGACATATAACCCTCGTTACTCTGAGACATATAATCCACATTACTCTGTGTCATATAACCCATATTACTCTGTGACATATAACCCAATCACTTTGTGACATATAGATATAAGAAGATGTGGTATGAGTGCCGATGAGACAACTCTCCATCCAAGTCAGCACACATTACTCTGTGACATATAACCCACACCACTCTGTGACAAATAACCCATATTACTCTGTGACATATTACCCAACCACTTTGTGACATATAGCCCACATTACTCTGTGACATATAACCCACGTTACTCTGTGACATATAACCCACATTATTCTGTGACATATAACCCACATATCTGTGACATATAACCCACATCTCTGGGACATATAACCCACATTATTCTGTGACATATAACCCACGTTACTCTGTGACATATAACCCACATTATTCTGTGACATATAACCCACATCACTCTGTTACATATAACCCATATTACTCTGTGACATATAACCCAATCACTTTGTGACATATAGATATAAGAAGATGTGGTATGAGTGCCAATTAGACAACTCTCCATTCAAGTCAACACACATTACTCTGTGACATATAACCCACATCACTCTGTGACATATAACCCACATCACTCTGTGACATATAACCCATATTACTCTGTGACATATTACCCAACCACTTTGTGACATATAGCCCACATTACTCTGTGACATATAACCCACATTACTCTGTGACATATAACCCATATTACTCTGTGACATATAACCCAATCACTTTGTGACATATAGATATAAGAAGATGTGGTATGAGTGCCAATGATACAACTCTCCATCCAAGTCAGCACACATTACTCTGTGACATATAACCCACATCACTCTGTGACATATAACCCATATTACTCTGTGACATATTACCCAACCACTTTGTGACATATAGCCCACATTGCTCTGTGACATATAACCCACGTTACTCTGTGACATATAACCCACATTATTCTGTGACATATTACCCACATCTCTGTGACATATAACACACATCTCTGGGACATATAACCCACATTATTCTGTGAAATATAACCCACGTTACTCTGTGACATATAACCCACATTATTCTGTGACATATAACCCACATCACTCTGTTACATATAACCCATGTTACTCTGTGTCATATAACCCACGTTACTCTGAGACATATAACCCACATTACTCTGTGAAATATAATCCATATTACTCTGTGACATATAACCCAATCACTTTGTGACATATAGATATAAGAAGATGTGATATGAGTGCCAATTAGACAACTCTCCATCTTAGTCAGCACACATTACTCTGTGACATATAACCCACATCACTCTGTGACATATAACCCATATTACTCTGTGACATATTACCCAACCACTTTGTGACATATAGCCCACATTACTCTGTGACATATAACCCACATTACTCTGTGACATATAACCCATATTACTCTGTGACATATTACCCAACCACTTTGTGACATATAGCCCACATTACTCTGTGACATATAACCCACATTACTCTGTGACATATAAACCACGTTACTCTGTGAGATATAAACCATGTTACTCTGTGACATATAACCAACATTGCTATGTGACATACAACCCACATCACTTTGTGACATATAGCGTCCTTAACTGTGACATATAATCCACATCTCTCTGTGACATATATATAACATCTCTCAGTGACGTATAGCCCAAACCTCTCTGTAACATATAACCCACATCTCTCATGTGACATTTACCCCAAACCTATCTGTGACAAATAACCCAACATATTTGTGTGACATATAGCCTGCATCTCTGTGACCTATTACCCACATTTCTTTGGCCTATAACCAAATCTTCTCTGAAACATATACATGTACCCCAAACCTTTCTGTGACATATAACCCACACCTCTCGGAAACATATACCCCAAACCTTTCTGTGACATATAACCCACATCTCTCTGAAACATACACCCCACATCTTTGTGATATACTCAACACATCTAATTGTGACATTTAGCTTACATCTCTATGACATAGTCCCCACATTTCAGCGACATATTCATCATATCTCTCTGACTTGTATCCATATCTCTCTGTTACACTTACTTCAAATTTTTCAGTGATATAGTCCATATATCTGTGACATATTCATCCCATCTCTCTGTAGAATAAACCTTATATCACTTTGTGACATTTACTCAAATCTCTGTGACATATACTCCATATCCCTCTATGACACATTGCACACTTCTCTTTGTAACATACACCCCACATCTTTTTGTGACATAATCCCTACATATTTCTGTGACATATACACCACATCTCTGTGTGACATATACACTATATCTCTCTGTGACATATACCCCATATATTCCTGTGACATATACCTTACGCATCTCTCTGTAATATATACCCTATATCTCTTTGTAATATATACCTCACATCTCTTTGTGACATATACCCTATATCTCTATGTGACACATACCTCCCATAATTCTCCGACATATACCTTGAAAATCTCTGTGAAATATAGCTCTCATCTTAATGTGAAAATAAATGGGGAATGTCTCCATGGGACACAGATGATGCCCCGCTTGCATAAAACGTTATAAAGGAACATAAATCAAGAACAGTAAAAGTCACGCTACCCAAATTCGTACCTGATTTGAGTTTTGTGGTAATAAGCATTGTGTATAAGTTTCATAACATTTGGTTAAGGCAAACTTAAATTAGAGAATGGAAACGAAAAATTCAGCAATTTTTCCATTTGTAAAGGGGCATTACTCTAGAACGGTAAAAGTGACGCCACCAAAATTCAAACTTGATTTATGTTATGTAGTGATAAGCATTGTGTATAAGTTTCATATCATTTGTTTGAGGCAAACTTAAGTTAGAGAACGGAAACCAATTTTGAGACGTACAGACGTATGTTCAGACATACGGACGGACGAATGGACGTACAGACGGACAAGGGTAAAACTTAATGCCCCCTCCGCTACAGTGGGGGCATACAAAGTAAAATAACAAAAATACCAAACTCCTTCCACATGGCACCAATCAAAATCCAGGATTCATTAAGAGTTTTTTGTGTAAAAGGAATTGAGGCCCTGGCAAGTAGGAGAGATTGATTACTGGAAGGGACTAAATTATTCTGGTAACATTTTTTTGGCAGTCACTAAACAACAACAATGAGGTCAACAGCAGACATATACCAAATGGACACCTCAGACCATCTGTTATCAAGATATGAATTATCTGTATATAGCTAGTTTTTCTACCATGTGGTATATAAAGCTTTATACAACTAGTACATGTTTCTTACATTCAATGCAGTCAGCTAAATTGGTGTTTGACCTTCTCTAGGAAGTGTAACCTGCAAAGCATTTAATAATTATGACAACTGGCAACAAATAAATCTATGCTAAGGTTTTCATATATTTATTTTTCTTTATCTTATGAATATTTGACTATACAAAATATTTGTGATTCAAAAATGTTCAAATAATCTTAACAAACAGATTCAACAAAAAAGTCCATTTAGATGGACAACATCACAACAGTGTTACCATGACAACCCCCTGGCACTCGGGTGCTAGATTATAATTTACTGTACAATCAGGACAAAACACAAACATTTAACTGAGATCATTAAATCTGGATTTCAATGTAACATAGCAAGTTTATTTAATGGAAACTTTTGTTTTAGTATACATGTAGCACACATCAGAACAGTGTTTTGGTATACTAAATGAAAATAGACAGGGTCTATTTAGACATGACCAATTTTTCATTATGACATCATATTGTGCACTTTATCTTAAAGCTCATTACACCTGAAATTCTGCCTTCAGTTCTCTAATTTTTTAAAAAGAGAATATTTGATGTCAGATAATTAATAGCAATTCTTGAAAAGTATCTTAAAAAAGATTGGTTGCCAACCAATGTCAGATATTCTTTTTCCAAAAGACGAAAAAAAATTCATTAATGTCAATCAAAATTAAATTGTAATGCAAAAGCAGCAATTTTCTAATTAAAAAATTTCAATGGCTGGAAAGCAGAACAAATATAAGGAGCTTATTTGTCATTAAATGGTGAAGAAATATATGTATAGCTGATCGCTACTGACTGAATACCGTGGTGACTGCATGTTTAGTTTCAAAATGAAGGATGTTTGGAAGCCCAAAAGCAGCCAATCAAATGGCTTATAATGATCAATGGAAGATGGCACTTTTGCAAACATCACTTTTTGTTAAATTGTAAACCAAAGAAATTAAACAAAAAATTTAGAGTTTTATTTTTAGACTTCCTGAAAACACATCCAACATGTCAAAACTTTCTATTTCTGAACATTATATTTTTTTTTTAAATTATAATTACCCAAATTAATGTCACATTTGACTTCTTATTTAAAAGTGTAAGAACATTATGGTAATGATCATGTGACCTTCTTATACAACAATTGGCAGTGGCGAAATATTTATGCACTATTCAATTCTTTGGCAAGACATGGAATTAATTTCCCTCAATATTCTCTCATACAAACATGCTGTATAAAAATATTTTGTTCACTTACAAAAACCTCTTTCTCACTCTCTCACAGAACCTTCATTCATTCATTCATTCTATACTATACTACTGTATCTCCTCGATCTCGAAAAAATAATTCATCAATTTCAGTACAAAGATCGTCAGGGTTTACTGTGTAACTTCCCGATGTTGTCGTAGCTCTGTCATCCTCGTCTCGGGGAGAAACACAACTGTCACTTAAAGTATCTTCATATGAACGAGTCAAATTGTTATTTCTGTTAGCTCTTTGAAGATCTCCATGAAACAGGTCCCCCGATGGCACTCGTGGAATGTCAATGTATTGTTGATGAGGATGAATATTATCTGAATGAAGTCTTTGTATTTTTGCACCTTCATAGTTATTATGATAATGAGGGTCTCTAACATTATGAAACATTTGATTTTTTCCCTGTGGATTGCGTGGAAATGTGGACATGCCACCATTTTGTGGATGTCCAAAAGTAGATAATATAGGTTTTGTAGCACTGATGTCTCTAGAAATAGCACTATCTGTGGTAGAGTGTTGTCTTGGAGATACAGAACCAGGGCGACAACCTGCAAGTACAAATAAAAGCTGGTCAAATATTATGTATTTTCTGCAAAATTGGTGAATCTTTTAACATATGTACTGTTTTTTTTTTACTAAGACAGATGGAGAATAGAGACAGCTAGGAAATTTTAACAATAAATGTCATTTACTGTTCACTGTTACTAAGACAGAAGGATTTTAATAACAAATATAATTTGACTGTTTTCCTTTTTCCTATGAATATCTTTGAATTCTGACTGCTTGTTAACCAGTGTTCACATTATTCTTTTCCAAGTGGGAGGTTTAGCTAGCTATAAAACCAGGTTTCACCCACCATTTTCTCCAGAAAATGCCTGTACCAAGTCAGAAATATGATAGTTTTCCATTCCTTTTATTGTTTGATGTAGTCGAGCATTTGGTTTTGTCAGGCTTTATGGATTCTCCTTTTTGAATTTACCTTGGGAGTTCAATATTTTTGTAATACTTTTTTCTTTTTAAGGTGAAGAAATTTCTGCTGTTACTGTCTATTAATATGTGTTGTAAGAACAAGAATTTTTTCTCATTTTTGCAAATATTTAGTGATTTTTAGTGCTGCCTAGTTAACATATAAGTTACATAGCAATAAAATATTTTGGAATATTTCACATCAAAGTAACTTGAGTAATTTCTCCCTGAAGAATACCAACCTGATTCTGGTGGATGATTTCTAACATCTTCATCACTGCCACCATTGCCACTGTCTGTAGTAGAGACAGCAGACATGTCACTGTCCTCAGACTTAGCCACTGGGGACAACTGTCTCTGTTGCTGGAAAATAATCAAATCTTAATTATTATTGGGTTAAATTATGAATTTATCTATGAATTCATGGTACCTTAAAAAGCATGATATTGTAGGAGGCTAAGCTTACAGTCTGATCATAGAATAGAGAATAGAAACAGGGTATGTGTCAAAGAGACAACAAACGACCAAAGAGCAGAAAACAGCCAAAGGCCACAAATGGGCCTTCAACACAGCTAGAAAAAACCCTCCCGCAGGCAGACAGTATCATAATATTTGATTATTCATAAATCTAAATTGCAATATTATAAACACATAAAGTGAATTTATTTATTCAAGTGAGTACCAATGTTTGTGTATTTTTGAATTTGAAGTTTTAACAAGTTCTGAATACATGGAAGAAAGCTTGTTATCTAGTTGAACACTTATATTTGTGGTTAACCATCAACAAACAAACCGACGAAAATCATAAACAAATCCAGAGTAAAAAGAAGAATCAAGGATTAAAAAAATTATTTCTACCAAAGTTTGGAAACATTGTGAACATGTCTATATTCTAATACATATTCTATAACTGTGAACAAAATATAATTTAAAAAATTGTCATCACCATAACTTCAGGGTAAAATATTAACATTTTAGTTCATTATGACTTCAATGACTATTTTTTTTACTATTTTAGTTTCACCACCTTTCAGCCAAAGGCATATCAATATTATAATAATTTTTTTGAGATATGCATCTTCCTTTGTCACCTTTCCCTGCCTCGGCCTTTAAAGTACATTATGATTGTCTTTGATACAAAATAATATTTATCTTTCATTATGCCATTATTTAAATAAGACATCAAGTTCTTTTCTAATTTACACCTTTCCTGTCAAAATCTTGTTTTTTATCCTTAATCTACAATTCTAATCTGAATATACTAATGACATTGCATAATAATTTAAATATCAAATAGACAACCTGAAGCTATTAGTACTGTTTTTTTTCTAGTTCAGATATAGCCAAAAGGAAGAAAATTTCCCAACGACTTGTTTATCTTCCATGAAACCAACATTTTCTATTTCCTTTGTTCTCAGACCACCATCATTTATCAAAAAGTTTCGTAACAATGATTCCCCATTATGAGGTACGAATTACATAAACACCTTAAGTGAGGGAAGTATAATTATAGAAAAACCTGGTCATCAAAAAGTGATTGGGACACGGTTTGTACTACAGAAACTGCCTGTGGGTTATTAAAATATTGGTAATAGTGAATGATAGTGGTAATTTACAGAATGGATACAGGAGGATGATTAAATATTGAGTATACTGAGAGTTGTGTTTAATTCAATCTATCATAGCTTATCAAGGCCATTATTAAAATATTGGATCTGATGTCACACTCATGGGAGATAACTCTAAACATTTAAATATAAAAATAAGAACACGTGGTATGATTGCCCATGAGATAACTATCCACCAGAGACCAAATGACAAAGATGAAAACTATTTTTTTTCCAAGTGATTATTCTAAGATTATTAATAAAAATTACAAACAAATCAACAGCATTTTTGCAATAACTTGCATGCCTCTATTTTATCAAGTTGCTAATTATCAAGTAAAAAGATTGAATTTTAAAAAAATATTTGTCACAAAAATTAACCATCTTAAAGGATCTAAAATCATAAATTATTTAAAAGTTGTTAATAAAGATACAATGTGATTTTTTTTCTGGATATATCTTTTTTTCATTTAGTCTTTGTTCCATGGAACAGTAATTCAAACAATATAAAAAGAAACATTTAGTAATGTTAATACCTGTTGTGACTGTTTCCATTTTTCTCTGCCGTTCTGTTGAGTTTGTAGATATTGTTGTTGTACACGTAGAGAGGTCATTCTATGTAACTGTTGCTGACCACTATCAGTCAGACTGTCATCACGGCCATGGTTAGGTACATGTCCATTTTGCTGTAACAGAAGAAATACATTTTTTAAAATAGTGATTTTCATATAATTGCCTAGTGTTCAATCCTTTTATTTCCACTTTAAACTACCATATTTTTGTTCATTGTTGGAAGTCTGCAGTGAAAAATTCTTAGGTTTTTTTTTTCATTTTCTTTATTCAAAATTAAAACCAGCTTACACATAATTACTTCAGACAAAATAACAAAGGTATCAGTTTCAACTCATTTCATAATATCATAGATCTAGAGCCATATTTTACATAGATTTAAGATTATTCAAATAATTCTGTATCTGAATCAAAGGGAAATTTAAGGTGTCAACAAAAGATGTGAATTTCTTGTCAACCATACCAACTAACGTCAGAGGAAGTTCCAACAGGAAACTTCTCTTAATCTACCGAGCAGCAAAAATAACTGTACGATAACTGTCTCAATGTAAATTGTTTGAACTTTTGTCCAATCCATAATTTATGAGGTTTTATTATTTTCTTATTACTATATTATCATTACCAAATTATCAAATAAACACCAAACTGAAAAGTAGATCTTATCTACCCTTATAACCAATCTTCATTGAGATCTATGAACGTTAATATCTTAATATCCTTTAATTACTTCTGAGCAAACACTTACTTTACAAACAAGGGGGATTACTTTTGTTTGCAGATCTTTGCTATTATTCTCTTTGACTTGTAAGTCAATGTTTAGGATTGTTATTAACATAAAGATGGGAGATAGAATACCCAGCGACTGGAGTTCCGTTGTGACTAAGGTCTGTCGTGTGAAGTGGTTTATACATAAATATTAGGTTTAACGGAGAATACATCCCATCAGCCAACCTCCACTGTCACCAGCTCAAGTTTACTCAGACAATTAAATTGACAAATATTTTACATAAAAGTAGGTTGACATCAATGTTTTGAGGACTATTACAACTTTCCCATAGTTTGATGAAACTTTGACATCAAAAAGCGAATGTACTTACCGTATTTATTCTAATAAACGCCCCGGGGGCGAAGACAATTTCCAAAAGGGGGGCGTCAATTAGAGAAACGAATTTCGTACCTTACTTCATTAGGTAGTTAGGTATATTTATAATAGGGTATTAACAGGTGAATAGCTTTTTGAAGGAACCCATGCATGGACTATTATACAAATATGCTACCCCAACCCCCAAATAATAAAAAATATACATTTTGATCATCTACTGGGTTGAAGAACCAATAAACATCAAAGTATTATGAAAAATAAAATTCCAATAGCTTTATCATTCTTTTTTCTTTTATCGTGTTTATGATGGGGGTGCAGTTATAATAAAGACTGACTGTGTTTTAAAATTTTAAGGGAGAAAATCATCATATTAAAAACAGCTATTTTCACCAAAAATAGAAGTCAGATAACCTGCTTTAAGATTTTTATTTTTTTTATGCATTTTGCTAATTTCAAACCTATTCAGAAAGCAGATAGTTTAAAATTCTACACTTTAAAGTTGTTGTTCTTAAGTAAAAGTTTGAAATTCAGCAGAAAAATTGGTATTATTAATGTCACTCAGACACTGCAATCTTAATCATTCTGTTGAATTTTTGAAAGTCTTTGATATTACTAGTCTGCAGTTGATAATCACACTACAACAAACTCCTACATTTGACTTTTATAAAACGTACCTGAGTATTTAATGAGCTGTTTGATTTGAAGGTGACCATTCCAGACCCTGAAGACAGTGTGGATGGAAATGTCATAGATAATGTATTCTCCTGTTCCTCGTCTATTGAGAAACTAACTTCCTTTTTCTGTGGGAGTTCATATACATCCATGATACGGTCCTGTGATCCTTTGGATGAGGATGATCGATTACTGCTGCCTCTCTTCAGATCAACAATTCTCATATGTTCAGCAGATTTGGCACTATAAATATGTTTCCGAGAATCCATTTTACGAATGACACAAATTGTGATAATAATCAAAATGGACAAGAGTGCAGTTATACACCCTATAATGATAGCAATGATAATATTCTGTCCAGCTCCGGCATCTGTTAAACTAGCAACTGTAGTAACATTGACAAATTTGACATGAATCCACAAAAGTTCATGTGTAACTTGCTGATGTGGACTTCCCTGATCCTCAGCAGAGACGGTCAGTTCATACGGTTTGATTTCATAAATGTGTAACTTTCTAGACAAAAATATCTCCCCAGAATAATCATCCAAGTAAAATAGATTATCTTCATTACCAGAAATAAATTTGTAAGTTACTGTCCCATTTTTACCAGCGTCACTATCTTCTGCTATTAATGTCGTCACTAACGTATCAGGATTTGCCAAATACTGTATACTGACAGATTTATTCGTAGAATTTGGAAATATAAACACAGGAGCATTATCATTAATATCCAAAACATTTACCGTTACAGTTGTAGCATTACTGTTTTGTTTTAAGTTACCCAAGTCTCTGGCAATGACTTCAAAAGTGTACTGATCCTTGGCTTCACGATCTAACTCTTCAGTAGCAGCTATCCCGCCATCTAGTGAAACTGAAAAAGGGACGTAATTTATATCTTCTTTAATATGGAATGTGACGACACCATTGTCCATTTCATCAGTATCATTAGCTTCAACACGACCAACCTGTACTTGCTGGTTTTCGGTAATTTCAAAAGTATAATGCTGCTTTGAGAATTGTGGGTAGTTATCATTTTCATCTTCCACAGTAACATCCACGACAACAGATGAGGTACGAGAACTACTCACACCATTATCAACAGCATAGACAAAAAATGAGTAAAATCCTTTCTTCTCACGGTCCAAAGATCGCTTACTTTTTATAATACCAGTATTTGATTCAATTTGGAAATCACTCTGCACATCCTCACCTAGTTGATATCGAACCTGAGCGTTATTGCCCTGGTCAGCATCTGTAGCACTTACTTTAGTTATATATGTAAATGGAGGTTTGTTTTCTGTGATTCTTGGCTTGTACTCTGTATCTGTAAACACTGGTTGGTTGTCATTCTCATCTTCTATCTGTATTACAAAACTTTTGGTGGCATTACGTTTCGGATTTCCTCCATCCAAACAAAACACAGTTATTACATGTTCATAACGATCTTCACGGTCTAATAAACCATGAACTGATATCTTGAATTCATTTTCAGCGAAAGTTTCTAAACGAAAAAAAATGCTACTTATAGAGCATGTAGCTATTCTGTTAACTCCTTGATCAGCATCATCAACATGTACAAATGCCACCACTGTACCATTTGCACTATTTTCTGGTATTAATGCATAATCTGTTCCGTCAACAAAAGTCACACCAATAATTGGGTCATTATTATTAATGTCTAGAACAGAAATAGTGACCACTGCTTGACTACTTAGTACCTTAGTTGTACCACTATCGGATGCCTCAACAATGATTCTATATGGTGCTTCAGGTATAACAGTTAAAGAGGTCTTTACAAATATTTCCCCTTTATTTCCAGAGGGTGTTGTAACTGTGTTAATATCGAACAGAGAGAACACTGTAGAATCAGTTTGGTAAGAGCTGAATTTGTAATGAACTTCACCATTGGTTCCGATATCTCTGTCCGTAGCTGATAATGTCAGGAATACTTGATTTACTGTTATATTCTCATTAATAATAACATCATACTGCTCCTTTGTAAATGTAGGCTTTTCATCATTAACATCTGTGACGGTGATATTGAGCATAAGCATACCAGTTTTTACGGGGTTTCCTCCATCTTTAGCTTTCATATATAATTGATAGTAATCCCTTGTTTCACGGTCTAACGTAGTCAGCACTCTCAAAATAACCTCAGAAGTCCCGTCAAGTTTCGGATGAATATCAAGTGCAAATATATTTAGAGCTGGAACGATCTCATAACTTTGAACAGAGTTATTGACCCCCATATCAGGGTCAGTGGCTCCAACCAATGTAATGGTTGTATTAATGGGAAGATTTTCTGCAATACTCCTTGCCATAGAAGTAACAGGAAAGGATGGTGAATTGTCATTAACGTCCAAAATATCAACATAAATAACTATAGTTTTGACATTAGGTCCACTCATGGCTGTCACTCGAAGATGTTGTCTACACAACAATTGATTTGGACAAAGTGTTTCACGGTCCAGTTTACGAACAGTACTTAATATTCCAGAGTTTTCATCAATCTCAAAGTTCTGGTAAGTTGTTATGAATCTGAATGTAAATGTATCGGATAAGTTAGATTTCTGTCCGACGTTCCCAACAATGACCTGTGGATCTAATTCCTCCTTCACAGAAAACTGTAATACTATTGGTGACTGACTGGATACAACAACAACTAATAATATTAGAATTATAAACACCTCCATATTCATCTTGCTTTTCCTGTTCTCAAACCATAGCTTGGAAAGTCTTCTTTAAAATCTTTGCATTTGTTACAACCCCTGAAAAAGTAAATAAGAACATTAAATGGTGTATTCTAATCAAATTTTGAACTGAAAAAATAATGTATAGAAATTCCAAACACTTCCATCCCCCCCCTCCCGCCACCATTCTAAAGATAAATTCTAAGTAACAGAAATAAACATACAAAGCAATGAGCAATGAAATGAAACTTGGAATGCATGCTCAACATCTTATTTGCTTCAAACTTGGAGCATTAAATCCTATCCATTTGAAAAGGAATTAGTTTTAAAAGTCAAAACAATATTGTCCTGTCTTTATGGTCAATACAGTACTGTAAGTATACAAAAGAATGGATTATCCTCGAGAAGTAGAATTGTCCACTACTGTGGCGGTAATCCCAACTTTTAGCCCTTCCTATCAAATGTAGGCTATATACCAGCAGTTTCTTGTTAATGCAAATACATTTTAATCTTCTAGACCATTTCAAAAAAAGGAATCAGTAAAAATTATAATAAATTGTATAATCTGTGTCAACTGGCTGTTTATTGATATAACAAGGAACAGATTTAATCATTAAAGGTGTAAGGATAAGCTGATAAGTCATTAGAAAAAATAAACCACAACTAATAAATCACGATTATAATGCCAATATCTAATAAATAAATTGCAAATCAATATTCAAGTTTTTAAATTTAGAAATATTACAATCAAAAGGAAATTGACTTGCCAAACTCCACTTTTATGCTGATTCAATATAACAGTTCCATGTTATACAATATCAGCTACTTGAACAAATATAATAGGGCAAGATCTAGTTTAATGCAAAAAATGATGCTTTGTTTTTTAGATTTGGAAACAAACAGTAACTAAAAAAATGTAAATTATTCTTTGTCATTTGTATGTATATTGACCACATTTTGCCACAATTTTTACTTACAATTTCTTTTACTTTTTTAAATTAGAAAACTGTCTATTGACTTTCCAAGACCACAAATGATGTAAATACCGGTACCACTTAATGATGACCTATAAATGGCCAGTTTATTTTTCACAGAAAGTTTTGTATCTTTTTGGGCTATTTACATAATATCTCACTGACCATGATCCAATACATGTATGAAACTGTTAAACCTACTGTGTAATGATTCCACATCAGAGATATCACACTGACCAAGTCTCTATAGTTGGTCTAATTAATTTGTTTGCGTTTCATTAGTCCATTAAAGGGAGACTTTAGTTTATAGTGAACAAGGTGTCGCTTTCCTGCTGTGATCTGATTAGAGGCAATTTTGTTTGTTTAACAATATAGACTTAATTGTAGCACAATTAAAAGTTTTAAAATAAATCAGGAACATATATATTGACGGGACTTGACACTACCTGATTATAGTCGATTTAAGGTGGCACGGTAGTATTTCCTGGCCCATAAGGGATAATGATAGCCTTTTTAGAATTTTCACCACTTTCTAACACTGCTAAAAATTCTACATTCACAGTTTACTGAAGTACTTTCATTTTACTATTCAGAAATGAATTTGAATATGTATCATGACCGTTTACTTTTTTTGCTATCTTTAAGAACCTAAGGCCACTAGTGCTTTTAGGTCTTTTATCGTGCAGTGAATACACAATTTAAAAAAATTCTCAAAAATTCATTTTCATCTGTATGTAAAATTATTTCATATTTTTCTACACCTGATTAATCCCTCAGTTTGGGAAAGTATGTTCAGTTGATACTGTATTTTTTGTCCAATCATAATGTTCAGATACATTGACTTAAGTAGGGTACACAAAAGAGCAACCTAAATTCTGGAATGCAAATACTACCGTGCTACCTTAACCAAGACATTTCAAACTTGAAATCAGTCATGACACCTATGATGCATAGCCTTCTTACTATGTAACATATTACAATAAAGAATACTAGTCTGCACTTATTTCTTACCAAAAAAAAATGAAAGATTACACCCCTACCCCAGCTGGTAGATTTTCATTTTTTTATCATCTTACCATTTTTACTTAAGGAGTGAACAAAATCCAAATATATGATGTTTCAAATCAACACAGAAGTCAAACATGGTGATTCAGGAGGAATTATTGGATTGCCAACTCTATTTATAGTTAATCTGACTGAAAGTAACAGTTTAAGCACCAAATCATGAAAAATGATATTAAAGTCCATTCCACATTTAACAGCATGCCTTACATTACTTTAAGCATTTCCAGATTATGAAGGCAACACAACAAGATTCTTTAGATGGCAGTTAACTATCATTCTGAAATCTTTTTGACAATATATGTACTAGAATATATCTCTAAGTTGACTGTTTGTCTATTTCTCATGTATGCATTAAGTTAAATTATGTCCCCTTACATAATCATTTTACCTTTATTGTGCTTTTCATTGTCAGAAAATCAAAACAATTAATGACATTTGCATGGAAAATGAATAAACTATTTAATCTTGCTGATAAACAGTCATAATTACATTCTTTGTCAAAAAAAATGTCTTGTCAGTGTAAAGAAACCCCTATTGCTATCTCTTTTTCAGTCAAATATGAGGGCTAAATGAATAAGTAAGGACCCCTTAACCACTTGCTGGTTCCAAAAAAGCTCATACTGGTGTCATGTTACCACAAAACTACAAATTAAACCTAAAGAAAACTAGTAAAGCTGTACTTGTGTGGAAAAAAATAAGAAATTATGCAATTTATTTTTTTCGGTGAAAATAATAGGATGTACAGGCAAATAAAATATGTCGCGTCTCAAATTCCAGTGGTTGCACATGTGTCAGACACTGCGAAAAGTTAAAGTGAGCATTTATAATTAAAAATGTATTGCAAGTTACATAAAAATAATGAAGTTCTACTTTCTAGGTAAATTTTTACTTTATTACCCACAGATCAGGCAAAATTTGCTGAATCAGCAATTTTCACTCCCAGGGGTGGAATTTAAGGGCTGTTTTTATCATAGTTGCCCTTAATCAACTTTTTATTGATAAACTAACAAATTGCATAGGTAAAAAAAAATCCTTCATTGATTTAGTGTAAACATGTATATCCCCCTTAAGGTGGCACGGTAGTATTTCCTGGCCCATAAGGGATAATGATAGCCTTTTTAGAATTTTCACCACTTTCTAACACTGCTAAAAATTCTACATTCACAGTTTACTGAAGTACTTTCATTTTACTATTCAGAAATGAATTTGAATATGTATCATGACCGTTTACTTTTTTTGCTATCTTTAAGAACCTAAGGCCACTAGTGCTTTTAGGTCTTTTATCGTGCAGTGAATACACAATTTAAAAAAATTCTCAAAAATTCATTTTCATCTGTATGTAAAATTATTTCATATTTTTCTACACCTGATTAATCCCTCAGTTTGGGAAAGTATGTTCAGTTGATACTGTATTTTTTGTCCAATCATAATGTTCAGATACATTGACTTAAGTAGGGTACACAAAAGAGCAACCTAAATTCTGGAATGCAAATACTACCGTGCTACCTTAACCAAGACATTTCAAACTTGAAATCAGTCATGACACCTATGATGCATAGCCTTCTTACTATGTAACATATTACAATAAAGAATACTAGTCTGCACTTATTTCTTACCAAAAAAAAATGAAAGATTACACCCCTACCCCAGCTGGTAGATTTTCATTTTTTTATCATCTTACCATTTTTACTTAAGGAGTGAACAAAATCCAAATATATGATGTTTCAAATCAACACAGAAGTCAAACATGGTGATTCAGGAGGAATTATTGGATTGCCAACTCTATTTATAGTTAATCTGACTGAAAGTAACAGTTTAAGCACCAAATCATGAAAAATGATATTAAAGTCCATTCCACATTTAACAGCATGCCTTACATTACTTTAAGCATTTCCAGATTATGAAGGCAACACAACAAGATTCTTTAGATGGCAGTTAACTATCATTCTGAAATCTTTTTGACAATATATGTACTAGAATATATCTCTAAGTTGACTGTTTGTCTATTTCTCATGTATGCATTAAGTTAAATTATGTCCCCTTACATAATCATTTTACCTTTATTGTGCTTTTCATTGTCAGAAAATCAAAACAATTAATGACATTTGCATGGAAAATGAATAAACTATTTAATCTTGCTGATAAACAGTCATAATTACATTCTTTGTCAAAAAAAATGTCTTGTCAGTGTAAAGAAACCCCTATTGCTATCTCTTTTTCAGTCAAATATGAGGGCTAAATGAATAAGTAAGGACCCCTTAACCACTTGCTGGTTCCAAAAAAGCTCATACTGGTGTCATGTTACCACAAAACTACAAATTAAACCTAAAGAAAACTAGTAAAGCTGTACTTGTGTGGAAAAAAATAAGAAATTATGCAATTTATTTTTTTCGGTGAAAATAATAGGATGTACAGGCAAATAAAATATGTCGCGTCTCAAATTCCAGTGGTTGCACATGTGTCAGACACTGCGAAAAGTTAAAGTGAGCATTTATAATTAAAAATGTATTGCAAGTTACATAAAAATAATGAAGTTCTACTTTCTAGGTAAATTTTTACTTTATTACCCACAGATCAGGCAAAATTTGCTGAATCAGCAATTTTCACTCCCAGGGGTGGAATTTAAGGGCTGTTTTTATCATAGTTGCCCTTAATCAACTTTTTATTGATAAACTAACAAATTGCATAGGTAAAAAAAAATCCTTCATTGATTTAGTGTAAACATGTATATCCCCCTTAAGGTGGCACGGTAGTATTTCCTGGCCCATAAGGGATAATGATAGCCTTTTTAGAATTTTCACCACTTTCTAACACTGCTAAAAATTCTACATTCACAGTTTACTGAAGTACTTTCATTTTACTATTCAGAAATGAATTTGAATATGTATCATGACCGTTTACTTTTTTTGCTATCTTTAAGAACCTAAGGCCACTAGTGCTTTTAGGTCTTTTATCGTGCAGTGAATACACAATTTAAAAAAATTCTCAAAAATTCATTTTCATCTGTATGTAAAATTATTTCATATTTTTCTACACCTG